TCCAGTAGCGCCCAGAGCGGCGCTACGGGACCAACCGGCAGCGCCCCAGCTGCTGTACCACAGGCGTCCGGAGCAACGCCGCGGAGCACGGGGGCAGCAGGACAGCCCAGACGCACCGTGGCTGTCCTGCTGCCCTCGGGCTCCTTGGCTTTGCTCTGCTTTGCTCCTCGTCCCCCTGGTCTGCGTCTGGGCTGTCCGCTGCCTGCATGCTCCGCCGCTTTGCTTCCTCTCCCTGGTCTGCTGGAGACCTGGGAGATGGGCCCCGTTCGTAACTGCGGATCCGACGTAAGTCGGATTCGCGTAACTCGGGGACTGCCTGTAATGGCAACCACTCACTCCTTTTCAACCGTATGTTGTTTGTTTCTGTCCCAGTGACTAACCCTCATTGGCTTCCTTTCCACACAAGAAAACATTCTAAAAATATATTCAAAGCAAGAGAAGAGCAAAGACAAGATAGACCCATTAATGAACAGGGAAAAAAAACAGAAAGTGTAGAAATGGCAGAGGTGTTTAATGATGATTTTGTTTCCATTTTCACCAACATGGCTGGTAGCGATTGCCAGTTAAAATGGGGTAGGTTCAGAAGTAAAATAGGTAAAGAATAAGTTAAAAATTACCAAGGCCATGTCTGCACTACAAGATAAGGTAGAATTTATTAAGGTCTATTTCTTACCACCCGATTTCGTCAAGTCAAAGGTCTGTCTCTCCACAGTGTGCAAGAATTCAATGTAGTTCGAAGCAGCGCATCCCTAGTAGGGAAACTGCTATCAACTTTGAGAGTGATGCACTGTGAGTAGCTCTCCCACAGAGCCTGCACCGCTTTGCATTCTGGGCCATGCTCTTGGGGCATGCTGGGACCAAAATTGTGCAGCAGGTGGTTCTGGATTCACGCCATCAGTGTCCTGTAATGCACTCATCCACTCCCTTCACCCATGCTTGAAATCAACGGGAAACAGTCGTTTTGAACCTTTTTTGGCCCTTGTTACCTGCATGGCTCTCTTCATGAATCTCCTTGTGCATCAAAGCATTGTGATGTTGATGTCCACCTTGGTGTGCTCTTGAATATGCTGCCATGGGGCAGGGAAGCCTCCTCCCCAGGAGCCAGATGGGCAGGGGTTTTAAGCTTTATACTGCAGATCCCCCAGCATATAACCATGTAACTGCCAAGATTTTCAGTGTGATGGGGTGCAGTCACAGAAGACCCCTCGGAGGTGCTTCCCAGGGTGCTGGCAAGGCCACTGCCACTTGCCTTTTTGCTCTCTGGGACTTCTCATCGCTCCATCCCGCTGGGCCAGCTCCCTGGTCTCTCCCAGCCAACGCACAGAGCTGAGATCACTGCCTCCCCGCCCAAGAAATAGTACAGACACTGAAACTCTTCAGGTAAAAGGAAAGTGCAGTTTGGGGCACCACTTCCCAGGATACCATTCCCCAGACAGGATCAGAACCCCACTTGAATTATTTAGGTAAGCCCCCTGTAACAATGAAAGGGGGAATGTACACATTGGTTGTTTCCGCCAGGTAAAAATTATCTACACTGGGTTTGATAGTAAATTAAAGTGTTTTACTAAATACAAGCAGTAGGATTTAAGTGGAAAAAGTGAGAACAGGCAAAGCAAAGCAGATTACAAACTTAAGACAACAAAACTCTTAGCTAATTCTGACATTAAAGCTTCATTACAAACTCAATTAGAAACTCACCCTAAAAGTGTTCCTTCTCCAGCTAAGCCTTCAAAACAGGGCAGCCCCTCAACCTGAGCTCTTTGGTTCCTTCTTTTGGGTGTGTCCAGCAAGCCAAAGACCTGCTAGTTTCCAATTGTTTTCAAGATTTCACTTTGGGCGGGAATTGTGTTTCTACATTCCACCCTTCCATTGCTTGGTCAGCTCCTACCAGTTGGGATGGACATGTGACTTCCTCAGACCAACTGTTGCTAAGACTTAGAGGACAAAGGAGATTGTTTACAGCTGGTCATGTAGACATTGAGGGTAACACCCTTGATGGCTTCGTTTGCACATTTAAAATCATAAACCATTCCATAGTCCATGTATCTAACTTTACACACAAGAATGATACATACACCAAAACGAGATATACAGACCCAGCGGATTAAGACATTAAGAGTAAGAGGTTACATGAAGCCATTTGTCAAAGAATCTTTGAGTTATGCATGCGTGTCCATAATCCATTTTATGGATTTATGGACACAAATATGGGGAAGGCGGGTCACAACACGGTTACCTGTTTTAACTGAATTTTAACATCCCTAGCCTCATCCGGAGTATTATGTCCAGTTCCAAGTGCCACAATTCAGGAAAGATGTGGACAAATTGGAGAAGGTCCAGAGAAGAGCAACAAAAATTATTGAAATTCTAGAAAACATGACCTATGACAGAAAAAAAACCCTGAAAGAATTCTATTTAATTAGTCTGGAAAAAGAGAAAACTGAGGGGGGAATATAATCACAGCTTTCAAGTATTTAAAAAGGTTATTACAAGGAGGAGGGAAAAAATAATTCTTCTTAACCTCTGATGATAGGACAAGCAGCAATGGGCTTAAATAGCAA